AATCTACGGCCCATACACAAAGCAAGGGAGCCGCCATATTGGTCCAAGTCAAGGCGCCGTAGAGTAATGCCAGGGTCACGCTAGTCGTCTCTGTCCTGAGATCCCTAGACAGCCTCGCCGGTCTGACCAGCTACAGCTTCTGATTGGTCAGCTGACCTGACTTCGGCGAGGCTGTCTAGGGATCCCAGGATAGGGAAGACTAGTGTGACTCTAGGTTAGGACGGGGAGAGATAGACCCAAGACGGTTACGGCGAACCTTAAATGAAACTTATCAGCCTTAGAACAATTAGTACAACATTATAATTTGTGTTTTCTTCAATTATATTGTTATTATAGCTGCATGAACTAATTGTGGACAAGTAGATAAGGCAGTGAGTGTTATATTCCAATGTAACTGTGATTTGCCTTTGCCAATAAGTGCGTGTGTGTCTCGCTTCAACCAAAGCGTAGTTGCTGTAAACTATGCATTACACTAAAACTAGCATAAGTACTGTCTTTGCCTCGGATTTAATGGTTTTGCTTATATATCTTTATTGTTATTACTTTTAATGCCATCATTTTCATTCCAGTTAACATTTTTTGGGTGAGTGGACGTCATGATGATTCAGAGAAAAAAATACAAAAAATATAGTTGAGGCTAAAGCCTCAACTATATTCCAAGTATGTACAGCATATAATAATATAGAATAAGTACATTATTAAGCCTATAACATAACAACATTTTACAACATAAAATGTACCTGCATCCCTTTGTAGAAAATGTATTAGAAAACTTAAGAAAATGCAACAATGAGTCTGTAAACTTGATTTATCTAAAAAGTATACGACTATTCATAGTGAAGGTTTGAAATCACTCTATGGCTGTGCCTTTGGTGATGCCCAGCTGGAAGACCCAGCTGAAGTGACATCGGATGAAATTTCCGCCGTGATGTTCAGTCTGCCACATCATATCAGTTCATACCAGGATGGTTTCAGTAATTTTTAAGTTTAATTCATTTGAACGTGGGAAATATTTCAGTGTTGCTTTACATACTATTTACATCATGTAGTCATAGAAATAAAATTACATCCTAGAGAAAAAAAAATCCGTAGTGACGTCACCATCCATCGGTTGCCTTTGGTTTCCCTTTGGAATACGAATATCCGTTGAATTCCAGCCCTGGCCACGGACTGGAAACATTGTGTTTTTTTTGTTTTTAATCAGCTGAGTAGCATATACGGCTTGTGATTGTTCAAGATTTCCAAAGAGCCGCCTGAAACATCAGCTGTGATTGGCCACTGAAGTTCCAACGCCGTAAGTGATTTGCGGTGTAAGATGATAAAGTGCAGAAATAAAATACGTTTGTTTATACGAAGCTAAGTCCGAGATGCGAGGCCTCCAGCGCGCCTCAAGTTTAAAGGTCTTTTGAGTATCCCCCCTTGTTGATGAAGGTAAATGAAATAGAAACTTAGTTTGTTAAATGTGATAGGGAATTTCTGTGTGTGTTCTGTATGTGTGTGTGCGTTTTTTTATGCTTTATCGAACATAATAACAGGAAAGTCATTTTATCCTCCTTTTCCAATGACAGGAACGTTGGCAGCAGTGACCTTAGGGAGTGTGATGTCAGGCGTTCACAGCGACACCTTCTACGCGCCAGACAGCGACTTCCTCTCCGCGCTGTACCTCTCTTCGCTAGACTTCAGTGACGTCGCCCCCCTCCAGCGCCGGAGTCTGCTGATGTCAGAGCACTACGAGGACACCAACAGCACCGCCTTCATCCCCAAGCCGAGGAAGAGAAGGACGATTCGACTTCATCCCTTGGGACTCGCGGGAGATGTAATTGGCTTTCAACATTAGCGTGGGATTAATCTATCGCGTTCAAAGCGCCTCACGGCCATTTGTAATGAAAATGAATATATATATATATATAGATAGATAGATAGATAGATAGATAGATAGATAGATAGATAGATATATGTATAATATTTATATATATATACTGATATAATTTGCATTTAAAATTATCGTGGGATTTATCAATTGCGTTCAGAGCAACACGACCATTTATAATCCAAAAAAAAATTGACATTGTTATGATTTCCATTATGATTTACATTTAAAACTATCGTGGGATTTATCTATTGCGTTTAAAGCGACTCACGCCCATTTATACCCCCTCAATAAATTATATATAATATATAATATATATATATATATATATATATATATATAATTTACGCATAAAATCATCGTGGGATTTATCTATCGCGTTTAAAGCCACTCACGGCTATTTATAACCCCCCAAAATAGTTTTGATACGACTATGAAACGACTAAAAAATTAAAATCCATCCACGTTTACACTTAAAAACTCCCACTTTCCTTTTTTTACACTGTATCATATCCTCATACCCATCTTAACAAAAAAAAATATTAATATGACTTTGAAACGACCAAAGAATTCAAATCCATCCTCATTCACTCTTAACGACTCCCAAGATCCTTTTTTTCCCCGTTTTTG